GGCTGTTGTAGGATGGCGGGGCTGCCACGAAGCTCTGGTGGAGATGCTGGCACACTTCCTTGTCCAAGACCAGTAAGACCCGAGAGGGATGGACCCGGAAGGTCCAACATGTAGCTGTGTTTAGGAAAATAGTGCTGGCAGTTTAGTCAGCTCTGCCTTAGTTATCTCTGCTCAGGTGTCAATTTTAGCTTGAGATAGTGTTCGCCACTCAGCTATCCTGGATGGATTTTTTTTTTCTTCCCTAGTGTTTGGTACTAGCTCCTACTCGAGAGCTGGCCCAGCAAGTCCAGCAGGTGGCTGATGATTATGGAAAATGCTCCAGACTTAAGAGTACCTGCATATATGGAGGCGCACCTAAAGGCCCCCAGATCCGAGACTTGGAGAGAGGTAAATGGTATACTTGTGTGTTTAAAAATTCACACAGTATTTTTAAGCCTATTTTGGGTAGGTGCTAAGCAGGATCACACCTCCATCTTCTGCTATAATTCATTCCAATTTTACTTCCAGTCATAGTGATTGTGTGTGTGTATAAGCGTTACAAGAGTTACCAGTTATACATATTTGTCTTACAACTTATTCAGATGGCTGTTTTTTTCCCTCCTCCCTTTTCTCTGTGCACTCTCCCCATACTACAATCTTCACAGTGAGGCATTCCTTTCTCTCTGTGTATTGGCAAGAAACCAGATTTATTGACTGTTCGTCAGTGTTTAGGATCTGCTGTCCCTCAGATTGAACCTCAGTTTCTTAGTATGTAGCGGAACTTTTTTTTAAAATACAAGTTTCCTTCAAATGTTTTTGTTCTCAGAGGTTTGCCTTCCTAAATGGTATCTTCCATTGGAACAAGGAGTGGAAGATAATTAGCCTAATTTCTGGAAGGTGCTCTACACTAGAAAATTAGGTTTGCAAAACTGTTGTTCGGGTGCAGGAAAAATTTACACCCCCTGAATGGTGTAGTTAAACTGACCTAAGTTCCTGTGTAGGCAGTGTTAGGTCGACAAAAGAATTCTTCCATCAGCCAAGCTACTGCCTCTCAGGGAGGTGTATTACTTAAGCCAGTGGGAGAACTCTTGATGTTGGTGTACATTTTGTCTACACTGAAACATTATACTGGCACAGCTGTGCTTTTGTTCCATGTTAAATGTGGACATAACTTAGGGCATTTAACTTCTCTACCCTATTTTTCCTCAAAAATAGTTACACCAAGGGGAATAAATGCCCTACTGTTTCTCGTCCTTCTGAAGCCATCCTTGGGTCTCTGGATGGGCCAGTCTGCATGGGCCTCTGAAAGGTGTCCTTTGAAGCATTTAGGAAGGCTGAATCCCCTCCACAGCAACCAGGAAGCTTTTCTTCCTGTGCCTGGTCAACATATCCTTTCTAATTGTCATCATTTCCACAAGGAGGGTTCAGAGCTAAGCATGCTCCCCAGAAAACAACACTTCTGTGTGGGTAACCAAGATAAAATAGTACCTCAGTCATCCTGTCTTCCAAAGGCCAAATTCATTGATTCAAGAGTATAGGGTTAATTTCATTCTGCCCCAAACCAAAGAATCATAGTGTGGAAGAATGGCATGAGTGCAAGATGGGTGGAGGGCTGCCAAGGTATATCTAAACTGCACAGACTTCTTCAGGAAATCCACATTGCTCGTACACAACCCTGCAGTCAAGAGAAAAACCTGTTCCAAAGCTTCAGTATTCCTGTGGATAAAGGCATGCATAGCAGAAGTCTAAAAGACAAAGGTGTAGTCCCACCACAGAGACTCTTCATGCAGTCTACTAGAGAAGCAGTGACTTCCTGGGTAGAAAGATCTGAAGTTGTAAAGAGATCTTGGAACCACAGCTTGGTCCCATGTCACACTTTTTCCATGTTACCTGCACAAAATTCTCACTCCAGGACCACCCACCCTTACCCATTCCCAGGGCTCAGGTGTAACCTTACCAATATAGGCACTCACCTTCACTCATTCCTAGGATTCAAGCATAACCATATACTGCTTCACTCATTCCTAGGATTCAAGCATATACTCTGGGTTTGTGGGATCTTTTACCAGTGAAAGAGCCTTACACAGTAATTTTCTACTTAATCTCTATTTATTAATTATCAAAATCAGTATACACACTCCAGGCATACTGTGCTCACCACTCCCCAATGAGACAGATGAACTTGTCTTGATGGCCAGTCAGGATATGGTCCATCTGGGGGACTCCAGTTTTAGCACCGTGTCGTTGGTACAGGGTTGAGGTCTGGCAACTCTGATGTTAGAGCTGTGTCCTGGAGTTGTGCCCGAAGAACTTCCTTTTGGGCCCAGATTTATATAGTGAAACCTGAATCCTGCTTAGCTATGCTGTAACCGATTATTTTAGTAACATTTTACTAACCAATCATAACATGTTGTAACAGTTACCTAACCAATCATGCCTCAACACCTTAATAGATGTACACCTAGCAAAATTAATTATACAACAGACAGAGATCATACAGACAAACAATAGGAATGTGAGCACCATAATCATAGAATTCCACAACCTCAATTATTAATAAACAGTTTCTTGCCAGACAAAATGCCGTCAAACTGTTTTCTTTACTCATCTTAAGATGTGTTTCTTTAACTGGTGATATTGGTTGCCATTAGGATGAAATCTTAACAGCCTGGTATGACACTATTTTAATGCACTTTAGATGGAATGTGAGTGACTCCAAGCTATAGCGCTAATGGCTGCCGCTCTTCAGTGTGGATGCAGAGGAAGGCTTTAGGCCGGGGTGGGGAACCTAGGGCCCTCCCTCCCACCCCCCGAATTGGGGAGCTTGTGGAGGTGTTCCAGCCCCCACTCTTCCTGCCCTCCTGCACTGGACTGGAGCACTCAACACTTACTAGCTTAGGTTCCCCTAGGCCCGGGGTCACCAACCAGTAGATTGTGATTTACCGGTAGATCTCAGGGGCTCTAAGAGTAGCTCTTGAGCCCTCTGAACTGCGCGCCTGTGCAGTACATTTACATTAGATTTCCTCATTTGAGGAGCAGCTACTCACTGAGCAACAACACAGGTGAGTAGCTGTGAGGAATAGTGAGAGCTGGGGGGTCGGGAGGGCTGAAACACCCCAGCCAGCTGACTGTGGCTTTCAGCTGAAAGAGGCTGTCCCTCGCTCCAGCTGATCAGTGGCTTCTCCTCTGCACCTGCCCACGTGGAGCTTGGGGGCACCCTGGCTGAGCGCCATGGCCAGCTGGCCGGGCAGCTACTTCTCTTCCCTCCAGCCCGGCTTCCCTGCGCTCAGCCCAGGGAGGCTGCATCTAGCTCCAGCTGTGCTGGCGCAAGCTTCCCAGGCTGAGCGCAGGATCACAGATGCCCATCTGATGGACTGTATACGACTAGCAATCTCAGACTACAACCCAGACTTCAAGACACTGGCAGATACTGTTCAGTCACAGGTGTCACACTGAGACTTTGTTATTGGAAGAAAAAATATATAATTATCAATACTTGATTTTAGATTTACAAAATAGCAGAGAACAAAATGTATAATTGTAAATGCTTCATTTGACATTTAAATAGCATGAATTAAAAACAGACCATTTATTTCATAACTATAAACATGTGATTTAATTTTATATATTGCATAATTTAAAAATAAACTGTTTAACAGAGTGTATAAGGGCTGGGGATAGCAAGTGATGGACAGGAGTATAGAGAGGGCAGGGCTTCAAGGAAGGGGCGGGGGGCGGTAGATCTTCTCCTGTTCTGAGATTTAAAAAGTGATCTTGGGTGTAAAAAGGTTGGAGACCACTGCCCTAGGCTCTGTGTCAGGGAAATGTGGGAATTGTCTTTCTCCTTCTCAGTCAGGCCATGTCAGTGAGGGTTTGTTTTCTTGTGTTTTTGCTTCTCACTTGTGTGTGGCCCCGATTCACTTTTCTGTGGGTTAGCAGCCCCCTACCCAAAAAGGGTTCCCCACCGCTGCTTTAGGCCTTCCAATATGGCTACAGGACTTCCACTATGGCTACAGAAAAGCCATATTCTTAACCACAGTGTGGTCCCTTGTCACATTTTTTCTAGGTGCTACAAAGTAGACATTATCTTCTCTGGGAGCATAGCATTTGATTGGTAGGTGCTGTAGAATGTGGTGCTCAGTCTTTCAAATTGCCCTCCTTTTTATGTAAATAGTTGAAAAGTAGATTCTCATCACTGTACAAATTTTCAAATAGTACAGAGAAGGGAAAAAACTTGTTTTTAGCTCTATGTTCTCTTTTTGGGATTCTTTTGTGGCCAGCTGTTTACACTGCTATAGAGTAATGAATTAACATCAGTCTGTGTTCTTATATGGTGGATCTAAGAGGAGTGAGTCTTTTAAGTCTTTGCTTTGACCTTCAGACTCAAGGCTCTGTTACAAATGTTTATTCTGAATGCTGACCTTAAGCATATTAGTATTTTTTCTGCAGCTTTGGAAGCTGTTCTTCTCGGAATATGTTCTGATGTCCTGGTCTAGAATTAAGATTTGGTCTGCCTCTGGCAGCTAGGAAGATAGCTAGATATGGAGTTTCTCAGAGGAAAATACACCCTTCCTCCATCTCTAAAATGTTTACTGGACAGATCTATGAGTTGAAAGGACTTAACTGTGAGACTGAAGTAGAAATACTTAAACAACAAATAGTCTAGTAGCACCTTAAAGACTAGTTACAAGAGGCTGATAAGAACCAGTAGTTTGCACTTGGAAAGGAAGATAACCAACACAGATGCTACACAGACATCAAGTACCATTAGCACCTCCATTGTTTGTTTGGTTGATAATGTGCGAGCCAAACCGATATCCCGATACAAACCATTTGCATAACAACTTCATTCACAAGTTTTAATTATGTTCCAACCCTTCTCTGTGTATTTGGTTTGTGGAATTGGTCTGAAACAAAACAGGGACTTAGAGATCCATTAATGAGTGTCCAGGAAGGTTAAAGTGTTCTCCAACAGGTTTGTGTGTTGCCTTTTTGGTTATCTGATTTGTGTCCGTTAATTCTTTCCTGTAGAGACTGTCCAGTTTGACCAATATACATTGCAGTGGGGCATTGATGGCATAGATCTTAGTGGATGTGCAGTTAAATGAGCCTCTTATTTGGTAGCTGATGTGGTTGGGTCTAGTGATGAAATTGCTTGTGTAGGTATGTGGGCAGAGTTGGCACCAGGGCTGATTGCAGGGGTGGGTTCCTGGGTGGTTATGATGGAGGTATGTTGTGTGGTTACTGAAAAGAATTTTTCAGGTTAGGTGGTTGTCTAAGCGAGAATTGTCCAAGGAAATGGTTCTTATCAGCTTCTTGTAACTATTTAGTCTTTAAGGTGCTACTAGGGGGGAGGGATAGCTCAGTGGTTTGAGCATTGGCCTGCTAAACCCAGGGTTGTGAGTTCAATCCTCACGAAGGCCATTTAGGGATTGGGGCAAAAATTTGTCAGGGGTGGTACTTGGTCCTGCTCTGAAGGCAGGGGACTGGACTTGATGACCTTTCAAGGTCCCTTCCAGTCCTAGGAAATAGGCAATCTCCATTAATTTTTTTAAGACTATTTTTTTTTAAGTTTTTCCTGTTACAAACTAACTCGACTGTCCTTCTGAAGCTTATCTGCTCCCTTTCTCTTTCTCTCCTCCACTTTTTTCCTTCTTTCCCCTCCTCCCCCTTTCCTACTTATTCTTGGATTTGGACTTTCAATACTTCTGTCATCTGAAGAAGTGGGTTATGCCCACGAAAGTTCATACCCCCATCTACAAGTTTTGTTAGTCTTTAAGGTGCTACTAGACTATTTGTTGTTTAAGTTTTTCTTGTTACAGACTAACTTGGCTACCCCTCTGAAGCTTTTGAAGTGGAAATGTCATCTCCTTTTTAGGAACGTAGGAATTTGTCATACTTGATCATTAGTCAGTTTAGGCTTATATTTCTAGTAGCAGATGCTGCAGAGGAAAACAGATGCCCTTCTTCCACAATAATTGCCTAATTTAAACAATATTATACAAAACCATCTGAGAAAATGAAAGGTTTGAGCTGTCTTTTAGCTGTTGAATGGATATGGTTCCTTTACTACCAAAAGGCTGATTAGATAGTGTTGAAAATTTAGCTGGGATTTAAACATTTATTCCTCTACAAACTGAGCTCTCGAATTAATAGCCTTGGATGCAGGGGATTCAGCTCAACTGGAAGTGGAGGTTAATTTTACCTTTGCTGCTGCTGCTGAGTCTTTATTTTTCTCTTCCATGTAATTTCTGAGGAGAGGCTATCTGCTCCTGGATTGTATTCAAGGTTCTAATGATACTATAAAGTAACTTCAGAATGGTTAATAAAATTAAAAATGCCTAGTGTTCCTAATAAAATAGTAGTAACTTGGTCTCAGGTGTGTATACATATATAAGGGAAGTATTATAACAAATTTACTGTCATATCTGGTTTATTATGACTAGAACTATGTCCCTCCCTCTTGTGTGTTGAAGGTGTTGAGATCTGCATTGCCACCCCAGGCCGCTTGATTGACTTTTTGGAGGCAGGAAAGACCAACCTTCGTCGATGTACATACCTTGTGCTGGATGAAGCAGATAGGATGTTGGATATGGGCTTTGAACCACAAATTCGTAAAATTGTTGACCAGATTAGGGTATGTGAAACTCTGATTTATAGTTTCCTTTAGGGATGTTAAAAATTGTGTAATAGAGTAACAGTGTAACCACTTTAAAAAAAAAAAAAAAAAAAAAAAAAACCACCTTAGTGGTTAACTGGTTACGCACACTGCGGGCTCAGTAGTAGAAAACTTAGTATAAAGCTTTGTACTGCAGAGCCTGCATCGAAGCATAGGGATAAGAACATGTACCTGAGTACACAGTTAATCGATGAGCCTGGGCTCATCACTTAACCCTCATGTTTACATGTAGGGACCTCCCTCCCATATCACAGATAAGGGGAAAGGGGCAGGTGGCAGCTGGTGTGCATGGGGCTCCGGCTTAAAAGCCAACTCCTTGCAAGCACTGGCTCCCACCTATTCCCCTCGTGTGTAAATGTCTAACCACTGAAAAATTCAGCTGTTAGATGTTTACAAAAATACACACATTTTAACATCCCTACCGAAGCTTCCTTGGGAGTGGAGTTGCCAGCCACTGCTGGCCTGGCTCCCAGGAAGGAGGCTTTGCTCCCTGAGAGCAGAGTGGGTAGCCCGTGCCCTTCTGGTGAGGTGGCTTTGCTGCCCTGCAGCAGTGAAGTTTTCTCCTCAGGAGCTGGCTGAGTATGATCAATACCATTAACTGATAAGCATTAGCTTATCAGCTAATCAGTTGTAGTCTAACATCCATGGTTTCCTTTAAATTCTCACTCAAATATATCATCTAAATAACATTTTTTCCGCCCTTTTTTCTTAGCCTGATCGGCAAACCCTGATGTGGAGTGCCACTTGGCCAAAAGAAGTGCGCCAGCTTGCTGAGGATTTTCTGCGTGATTATGTTCAAATCAATGTTGGCAACCTGGAACTGAGTGCAAACCACAACATCCTGCAAATAGTGGACGTATGCATGGAGAGTGAGAAGGACCATAAGTACGGTCGTTGTCCTGCTGTTCTGATTTGGGGGAGGAGTGCTAAAAATCTTCATTGCAAAGAAGTATTTTTAAGTGATCAGTCTACATAATTTTTCGCTACTGAAATTTATGAACCAATTTAATCCCTTATAGTTATCTAGTTGCTTATAGGCATTCACTAATTTTATTACATGGTAAGATAATTTAACTCTTCATAAATAGTTCTGAACCAACTTTCTCTAAGTGGTTGCTTGTTACAGGCATTCTTTCAAAAAGATAAGTTGAAAGTCTCTTCTGTGTTCTTGTAAATATATCCTAATTCTTCCTTTTGTTTTAGACTAATTCAACTGATGGAAGAAATCATGGCAGAGAAAGAGAACAAAACTATTATTTTTGTTGAGACGAAAAGACGATGTGATGACCTCACCCGAAGAATGCGCAGAGATGGGTGAGTAGCTTGTTTCCAGTTTGTTTCCCATTAGGAATCCCTAAACTGTAAGAAGTGGGAGAGGAGGAGGAAATGCTTATGTTGCTAGTCTTAGAAATGGTCTTTCCCTTCAGCCTCTTAGCTAGGTACAATATGAGGGCTACTGGAAGATTCCATCACACTGAAGCATTATGTAAGAGGGACAGCATACTGGCCTACTTGGGACATAATGAATGCTGCATTGTGTATGAGATTGCCAGGACAAAGGCAATCACTATAGTAGGCCTTATTGGATTAAACAGTAATAGTTAGTACCTGAAAGAATAATAGGTGCTTTCAGCCTGTACAGAAACAGATCCCTCCCAAATAGTTTATATTTTAAATAGGGAAACCGACAAAATATTTCTTAATTATTTTAATCCTTTCCTGTTTTCTCAACATTAATGAAGCTTCTTGTTACCTCTCTCAAATCATGTGTTTCCATTTGGCAGCTGGCCAGCTATGTGTATCCATGGAGACAAGAGTCAGCCAGAAAGAGACTGGGTACTTAATGGTGAGTGCAGTGTCTTGGAGAGTTGATTACTTGGAGTTTTGAAAATCATCAGCTTGGTTTAGGCAAACACATTTCCCTCTGTGTCTCAGATGCATAGTATCAGTCAGTATTAGTTGCTTTACCTGTAGTCTTACTATGTTTTCTGTTTAGCCTTTGACTTGTTGATTTCAATACTGAGGTGGTTGCCCTCTGCTGTGCCAAAGCTAAGAGGATTTCACAATTTCATGGAGTCTGTGTGCATCCCAAATCTCTCTCAATACATTTCCCATCTTGTTTGGATTCTGCAAAGATACTTTAAGTTAAATTCACTGCCTTTAGCATAGTTTGTGACTCCTGGTCTGTTTTCATAGTGGATTCTTGTCTTGCAGAATTCCGTTCTGGAAAGGCTCCTATACTCATCGCTACGGATGTTGCATCTCGTGGGCTAGGTTTGTACATACAGGCTACTCTTGCCTGCTGCTCCATATTTTTCTTCTTTGAACTCAAAAAAATATTTTCTTAAATTCAAAGCGTGATTTTCCCCCACATGTGAAATACCTTTTTTAACATTACTCTTTTTTTTCTTTCATATTCAAAGTCTCTTCCTGCTCCTAACGAACAGGCTTTGGTCTGCAGCAAGGCCTAGGCATGACTAATCGATCGCCAAGAGGGAGAAGAGACGTCCAATTATGCAACCCAATCCTTCCACTGTACCCACTTCCTCCCCAGTTCCAGCTTTTTGCGGCTGGATGGCTAGGGCTGGATTGCTCCCAATTTACTGAGGGGATTAGATATAAAAGTTGAAATAAGTCATCTGGGAGAGTAGTTCAGCATAAAATATTTAACAATACATTGATGATTCATACAAAAATCCCTACAATACACACAGTTCACCCATCAAATGTGCTCACATCTGGGAAAACATTGCTCCAGATTTTTTTCACAAATAGTCTTTCCAGCTCTGTTGGCTGTAGGCAGGTTCTGTTACATGCCATCAACATATACTGTCCAAGTGTGGTGTTGGATTAGAAGTATGTAGGATCAGAACTATGTAGTGTATTTCACTGATGTGAAAATGATCTTTTTGGATGCATAAGTTAAAACACCCCCTTTTAAAAATAAGTTGTGTGTGCTATGAAACATTTTTTGTTTAAATATTAACCTTTTTCTCTTACACTGGGCCAGTGTGTAAGTTTAGAAATATTGTAAAGCAATTTTGGCCTTTCTTCTACCTTACACTTTTCAGACTTGACACAGACCACAACCGAGGGCCATTTCATAGTAAGTACCTCAGTGGTCTGACCCATTGTGTAAAATTTTATGTAAAACTAAGTAATCCATGAAGAAGCTAGAAGGGAATTCTGTGATTTACAGAAGATTTTTAGTTATTTGAAACGTTTTGTATATTCTGAAAGGGTGGCTATATTATGCATCTCAAGGTCATTTAAATGTTGTCAAACTAGTGTTAGACTGGGCATCCTTCATTCACACAACCGTCACCCTTTCCCACCCCCAAAAATTGTCCAACACTTCCTCTAAGGGGTGATCATATGGACTTCAGTCTCTGCCCTCTAGGGTCATGTCTGGACCTGTGCAGTTAGAACTTGGGCCTGTTGGGAGAAGGGACTGAGGCCTGAAATTAGTTTGTATGAAAGAGAGCTGCTCTCAGTAGCAGTTTTTTTTTTTTAAACAGGCTTGCTATGTGCTGGTAGCTTCTTTGTGCATCTTGCCTAGACATTTAAAATAGCCCCACCCCCTAAAAGTGGTTCCCCCAAACAACTCAATTGGATACCTCTTAAGAAAACACTCTCCCTGTTCCCTTCCTCCCCCACTTCATCCAAGCTGTGGGGGAAAGGTGCCAGAGTCTGTTTCTTGTTACTAAACATCTCTGCTTGTTTTGGGGCCCTGAGTTTGCTGCTTTTTAAAATAAAGTCACTTAACTGGCAAACTTCTAGACGACTTCCTCCAAGATCCTGGGAAGTGAAGGCTACTACGTAATAACTTTAAACAGGGGTGCGCGCTTTTTGGCTGAGTCACCAGGGCTTTCCCTCATCCCAATGGAATATTGGTTTCCAAAAATCTCCTTCCAGGTAAGTTCTGAGTCCCATAATGACTACTTTATGCTAATCTTCAGGAGAGAGGTCCTCCCTCTGCACTGATTTTTTTTGTTACTCTTCACTCTGTTAAACTAAAAACATTGAATTTCTTTTGTTTTGTTTTCTTTAACAGAAGCTTTGATAACAGCTGCAGATCATTCTCAGTGCAGGGTCGGGGGCATATCTACACTGGTGATCGAAGCAGCTCTCTAGACGAGCATGTCTGCTAATTTATATCACTCCTGGTTAACAGTCAGAATCTGTGCCATAGGGTATTTTGGTTATCTGACAAAGGGTATGTGTCCCAGGCAGCTACAGTATCTTCTAAAAGCGCAGGAAGATTGTGACTGTGCACAAATACATTGGAGCATTCTAGACTGGAGAAACCAAATCCTGTTCTTGCTCTGATCTTCAGCCAGATATGTGCACATAAAGGACCGCCTTCTTAGTCTGGAGAACATTCCCTGCCTTTTCTGGCCCTCCCATCCTCCCCTCAAAAAACTCAAGTCAGTAGTGTCTGTGATATTAGCTACAATTCTGGGTGCTTTCTTCCAGGAAAGCGATTCCCTGTATCCACTTAATTCAACTCTTTGCTGCTCATGGATGTACGGAATGAGATTGGCTAAGGATCATGTAGCCGCCTGCTTGTCAGACTCTAGTTAAACTCTGGCTGTGAAGATGTGATTGTACCTATCATATTTGCCCCTCCCTTACCTTACACTTTTTCATTAAGCACCCTAGTTGGAGACTCGCGCAGCCCCCTGTGAAATCTGCCTTCTCACTCCCCTTATTGGTGTGATTCAGGACTTTGGAGTCAGCAAAGACTAAGGAGACCCCTTTGCTGTAATAAGAAACAGACATAAAGTTCCCTCTTGCCACTACACACCCCTTGTTTTTATTTTCTCCATCTCCCCTCTTTGAAATTGATGAAGTCTGGGCAATAGATGCAGTCTGACCCTTTGGATATAATTTTTTTATCTTCATTTTTTTGATATTCGCCCCTATTAACCCCGGGTGGGGCCAAAAAGCGTTGGAGGACCTGAAATTTTTACCTGAACCCAGGTTCTCCGGCACTTCACAACCAAATGGGGCTACAGAGAAGCATCTAAGCCAGTTCACAGAGCGAGCGTGTGTGGGGACTTCTCGCTGCCATGGACCCTTGATGCATGCTCCCCGCGCTCCAGTGGTCCCGTGTCAGAGGGCGGAGTTTTCGAAAGGAGGCCGCCAAAAATAAAAGGCAAAGAGACGGGATCGGCTGCAGCGGTTTCCCACAGGAGGAGGGAGTGTGCATCGGTCTGGTAACAAACAGAGAATGTTTCTCTATTTTAAAAAAAAACAAAAAACCAAAATCTGTGTTTTATCTTGGATATTTTCTGAATATTCTTCTTAAAATGCAGATTTTTTTTTCATGAACTGTAAGGACATTTTTTTATTGTAATTCCATTCTTTTTTTTAACATTGCTTATGATAGCAAATAGATATTTTTGCAACTGTAGGTGTTTTTACTGAAACGTTACACTAACATTTACTTACTTACTACTCCATAAATTTACAAAATCTGATATCTCAACAAGAGAACAAACTATTCTGATGTTTCTCCTAAGGTTTAATGGCATTTGTGCATTTGGTACAGCTTTTTGTCTTTTTGAGCACTCAGCTACCCAGTTCAGTCTAACATTTGATGTTTTGACTTGGACAGTCTTAAATTCTATTACTAAAAATCAAGATTGCTAACACTGGGCTTTAGTAGCATGGTGAAATGTTAGTGCAACGCATTCTCATGATAACTAAGAAGAGAGGTAAAATGTCTTAGCTGTGGTATGCTACATATATATATTTTAAATAGTAAGTTGGCAGAATTTTACTACCATGGTGTAACTGGGATGCTTAAATTCTAGGATAGGGGAAAGTCATTGCTTATATTTTATAGCCCTTAAAACTCATAGTGAAGTAAAAGCCTTTCATTTTTAATTTTCATGTGCTTGATTGGAAGGTAAGTGATCTCATTAGTTAGTCTTTAATAGACTTCTCCCAACAGAGTAAAAGCCTTCCTGCAGCAGATCTCTCCGTCTTCCACCCCAGCTTGCTGTGTCCACAACAAAGGTGGCATTTTTATTTGGGCCAAATCCTGTCTCCCTCTCCTTTGGAGAAACTAGTCATTTAACAAATTCAGATGGCATTGTGCAAAGAACCTATCACCCTGCACAAAGATGCAACAAGGGAAGGGTGAATCTGAACGGAGAGAACCACTGCTTTAAGACTTACTATTTTTCAGGTCATTCACCTTTGACCCCATGCATGGCTCAAAATTAAACCTTTTACTCTTTTGGGATGAGTCTGTCTTGTTTTTATTCCATTCAGTTACTAACTTGTTTTTTTCTCTTATTACTATCACCTGCATTCGTGCTCCCCACCTTTCGTTGGCACGTCCTTCTCTTCCTCTTCCCTTCCCTCCACCTACCCCTTCACTGTGCTTCGCTACCTGGGCACTTCGCAAGATGTGGAAGATGTTAAGTTTGTGATAAACTACGACTACCCGAACAGCTCTGAGGATTATGTGCATCGCATCGGCCGCACTGCTCGTAGCACCAACAAGGGCACTGCCTACACGTTCTTCACACCGGGGAACCTGAAACAGGCCAGGGAACTGATCAAAGTGTTGGAGGAAGCCAACCAGGCCATCAATCCGAAATTGATGCAGCTTGTGGACCACAGAGGAGGAGGTGGTGGTGGTGGAGGTAAAGGAAAGCTGGAAGAGGGTAAAAAGATGGGATAGATACTCCCTCTTGAAGGAGGATAGGTGTAAAGAGACAGAATAAAATACCTTCATAATTAAACCATCTCAACATCAGACTATTGCTACCTATGTATGCCCCAAATAATTAATATTTCCATCTCTGGAGATATTTAAGAGCAGATTAGATAAGATATCTATCAGGTATGGTCTAGACTGTGCTTTGTCCTGCCATGAGGGCAGGGGACTGGACTCAATGACCTCTAGTTCTAGTGTTCTGTGATTCTATACATACCCAACTACAAGTCCTTCTGGCTAGCTGAAGGAGGGACTTCAGTGTTTTAATCATAGTCATAGGATTTCTTTCTTCATTAACAGTGTTCTGCATAAAACTGCCCTCTGTAAATTAGTGAAACAATTGTAGTTCCTTCTGGCATGTCCTGCTTCCCACATAATTGAACATAGTCTATATTCTGATATACTCTCCCTTCTGACATGAGGTGTGCTGCCTCCCAGCCCACAAAGAAACATGAAACTTGATCCAGTCATTTTTAAGTTAGTGCTATATTTCTTTCAGTGTATTTTTCTGTTTCTGTGCACACTCTCAACTTGGGGTAGATCAAGATACAGGTTTTGAATTTGGTATCCACAATTTGGATAAAGAGAGGCCATGGGGTAATGGAATATTTGTGAATTGAAAATGCTGTTTATGGAGGGAGGGAATAATTAAAACCATTGTTAGAATTCAGTGCCTTTCTTATTTGAGTTCTCCACAGTATTAAACCCTGCTGTATTTACCACCAGGAGGTCGTTCTCGTTACCGTACTGTCAGTTCAGCCAACAACCCTAACCTAATGTACCAAGATGAGTGTGAACGGAGGCTTCGGGGAGTAAAAGATGGCCGGAGAGACCGCGACCGTGGTGACAGTTTTGCCAATGGAGCCGCCAAAACCTACGGCAGTGCTTATGGAAGTCCGAATTCCGCCTTTGGGGTGCAGCAGAGCCAATATGCCTATGCCCAAGGGAGCTATGGAGCAGCTGCCTATGGCACAGCTGCTTATGGCACTACTGCTGCAGAATACAGTGCTGCTGGCTATGCTGCCACTAGCACTGCCACTGCTGGGAGAACCGCTCAAACTGCCACCCAACAGCAGTATGCAGGCATAGGCCGGGCAGGCCAGCAGCCACAGCCTCTAATGTCACAACAATTTCCTCAGCCTCCAGGCACTAACGTGATAGGCTATATGGGACAGACTGCTACATATCAGTACCCACCTCCACCTCCACCCCCTCCTCCTTCACGCAAATGAGACCACTTGGCTGCTGGTGACCAGTCTAGACCTCTTGCATTTAAAGGAACCTTTTCTTTCTTTTTTCCCCTCTGTGATGCCTTTCTCATGCAGGTTAGATTTAGAATTCACCATCCCAATTCCTCCTGCCCACCAAAAATGGCCCTAAGTCCACAATTGCTTATCTTGTGGGTTTTTAACTATATATTATATATATATATAATTGACTGGAATTTTTTAATTTTTTTTCTTGCATGTTGAGGAAATTGGGACAATTTTTTTTTTAATTTTCTCTTAAAAGAAAATAGGTATAAGGCAGATAGGTCCCAGCCCAATCTTTTTGGTGTCTGAGGTTTGTGTGTGAAAATTTACTGCGGGAGGTGGGGAAGCAATGTGCTATAATATGCAAACTTAATTTCAGGAAGTATTGAGGGTTGGGGAATTCTGGGCAACTGAGGCATTCTTCCTTAATGTAATAAATACAAGGGAGCAGTGCTCATTTGTTTTCTAGATTTGAGATTTTTTTTTCAATAACTGAATATTGATGCTTGTACTTGGCATAACAAAACTAGTAAGGAAAACTCGGCTCGTTTGGCTCAGTTTGGAGGCATTCTGAATGTTGCTCCAAAGATAGTGTAAAACTGTTCTGGTTGGCACTTTTGCAGCTGCTGGTTGCAGTTTCCTTCCTTCTGATGTAACTTCTGTGGTGTGTGGTAAGGAATAGGGGAATAAAGCCCCAGTGTCAGAGACCAGAAACCTGTTTCCATTTGGTGTGCCAAACCCCAGATCTAATCCGTGTAAGAACTTTGTTGACACATAACATCTATTTGAAATATTTACCAATGAAAATCTTTCCCT